CGCTTCACGTAGGAAACTCCAATGATCTTCGACGTCTCGAGACAAAGTACTAATGAATGTATGCAACAAGAAAGTTTGATAAGCTGAGCGAATAGTCAGCTGACCTGTTAGTGTCGAGTGTATGGTGCTTTCGTTGTGAGGTGTCACCGAAGCGAATGCGGACGTCCGCGCAGACCAAAGCATGATCTGAATCAAGGTAGGTAGACCAAATCGATCTACAATCCCGGACGCTGCCACACCATGTAAAGTTGACTGTAATGTGATCTATTCGCGATCACGCTCGCGTTGGTGAAGGAGGAGACCAGGTGGCTGCACGTCTTCTGGTATGCTTAAAGTTTGTACATGAGAGAAAGAGGTGGTCTTCACACAAGAATTCTAGCACCGTTATCAGAACGGCTCTCATCAGGTGCATGACTGCCACCAAGATAAGGTTCGTATGGATGCAGGCGGCCTACTCGTGCATTGAGATCTCCGGCAAGGACGATGACATCTGACTTTTCGGCCATGTTCAAAAGGAGTAAACGATAAAAGTCATCATTAACCGATGAGCAACTGCAGTCGGTTGAAGCGTAGGCAGGAACAACAAACAGGTTGCGCGTCACTTCACGATGTTCGTTGATTCAACATGAGCCTTGAAGCCGAACCACATAGAGCCGGCTGTCGATTGGAAACCGGTCGAGTAAAGCAGCCTCCACATTATCGCTCAATGCGATACCGACAACAGCTGAGATGGCTGCTGCTGCCTTCATGTCACCAGACAGACCTAGGTAATGTGTGGCTTCAAGAGTAGCCGGGGACGAAAACTTAACCACGGTGCTGGGTTGCTGTAGTCGTGTCTCTGAAAAGCAACAAACATCGATGGCCAAAGGCTAGAGTTGGCGCCAGGCCAGCCTGCTGTCCAATCTGTAGGAGGTCCGAACATTGAACGCTGCCAGACGGAATGTAGAACAGAGTCGAAGGATAGCTGATGGCCGGACCATTCGGATACCAGCAAAACGGGCATTTGAAGTAGATTCAACAGATTCTGGATTAACAATAAGAGAAAAGTTGGCGTGTGATGGAGAAGCATGAGTAGGAAAGTGGCAGCAGAAGTGAGCGACGTAGTAGTAATTGTGAAACCCGTGACTTTCACAGAGGGCATGATACTACCAGGTTGCCCAAGCCGAAGTAGGGAGTTGTCCTAGGGGAATCCACTCCGAGCCTTTGACTCAACAGCCTACGCATAAGGCAGTGGAGGGAAGTCAGTGATTCGTATCCATTAGGAGTCGATGACTGATTGCCCAGTTCATACACCTTTAGTTTGTTGAGTAGCCAAACAGAGTCCCAATCTTCCCAACGATTTCAGCAGCAACGTGCTGGGATACAGTGCTTCACCAAGGTGAAACAAGTGGCCGTGAGCTTATTTACTGGCGAGTCATATCCGCCACGTCGCAGTATTGTTAAACGGACATTTGGCATTTTATAGGGAGAACGCTTGCCAGGCGAAAATCCATCGCGTCCTGGAACAATGCCGCCGAACCATTCGCTGGACCGAGATAATCCCGGACCACCACGCTGCCACCACGAGGAGGTGGTTCAGTAGGCCAGCAAGGTCGGTTGGTGCATCTCGACTGCCTGGCTGGGGTCCCAAGAACGATGAACACGTTGGGTTGGACACACGTGCTGACATTGCGAAGAGTTGGCTTTTGCGTTGTGAGTTCCTTTGTCCACCCATCCCCTTTAGATTCCCACTCAAATTCCGATCTCATATGAAAGGGATACTTTAATGTTTAACATTATATTACTTGCTTGTTGAATTCTTTGTAGTGTAAAGTTTCAGTAGCTTGTCTTTTTGCATTGCGGCATATTACCTGAGGTGTTTCTCACCCTCAGCTAACGTGTATTGATGATGGTGATGGGAGGGGCCGGGTGCACGGTCCTCGTGGCTGTGCTATGCTCAAAGAGTGGTTCCATTCAGTATGGAGCGGACTATGGGGCTCAGCCAGCGCCTTTTGCATGTTTGGTACGCATGATTCCTAAACTACATAGACAGGAACGATGCTGCTGTGCATGTTGGAGGAGTGTGGGCTAGCTCCGTTAATAAAACGTGGCTCCCATCCACATGTCTCCCGGTCTTATTCATTCGGGTGTACACTGGATATGGGGTGTGTGAATGGAACTGTGGATGGTGTAGCGCAAGCCTCCTGTGGTCTCTGTGTAGGCGCAGGAGTCCTGTGGCCGTTCCCATGGAAGTCGCAGTGATGGGCAAATCCGGAAGTGGATGCCGCCAACCATGTTACGTATCTATGAATACGACCAGCCGCAGGTGGGAGTCGGCAAGTTGGCATCAATTTGACCAGAAGCCGCCCGGTTTGGGGCAGGCAGTAGGGAACCACTGAGCACCGGGTGGTGCCCACTCAGTGTCAGAGATAATGTGTGACATAGGTGCTCTACGTCAACCGAGCTGTAAGCCTATAGCCCGTCATCTGTTACCCTCTATGGCTACGTTTTAAGGGAAGAGGGCCATCGATCACGCTATTTCCGAAGTGGATTAGATTGTGAGACTGAGTTAGCCGGATCCCTAACCCTTGATCTGTCTAGTGTCAGTGGCTTTGGACGCACTTTGAAACTGTTCCCTAACGAAGTTCAATGGATAACAGAAGTATGCAAACCATCGCACTACGTTAAGGTCCAGTCGCGTCGCGATGGATGGTGGGTATATAAACAAGTACAGTGTTACTAATATCAATATAGCCTGGGCAGTTTTCCGAAACAGTATGAGATCAAAATGCAGCCGAAGGAGGAATTTCATGATGAGAATCGTGGAGTAGACATTTGGGTGTCAACGACATTAAGATAGTACTCAACATCGAGCATTGGTAAGAAATTGCTTATGCCTGTCGAGGTGACAAAGCGAGTAATGGGACATGTCGACGGTTGGCGTTTGTCATGTTATAGTTCTCGACAGCATGGGACCGTTCACTGAACGTGGTCTGATTACTACATGCATGTTTTATGTAGAAGTGCTAGTGAAAACAGGTTGTCCGCCACTGATGAGAAAATCAGTCTGATCTCCATCGCCTCCAAATTGCTTGCCTCTGTCATCCTTCACAGACTGATTGGCACTCGTAAAAGCCAGATTCGTGAAGAGCAAGCTGGATTTCGTCGAGGTCGTGGTTGCATTGACCACATCTTCACTTTGCGTCAGTTGTTGGACCACGGTCACACATATTGGCGGCCCACCATTGTCGTGTTCCTCGATATCAAAGGTGCATTCGATTCGGTGGATAGACATGCACTTTGGGACTGTCTACTCAGGAAAGGTATACCTGAGAAATATGTGAATATTATCCGAGCATTATATGCGCGTAGCTCGGGCAGAGTGAGGGTTTACGGCAGGTTGTCGTCGCCCTTTAATATCTCCAGCGGCGTGAGACAAGGATGCCCGCCGTCACCTTTCCTCTTCAACTTCGCTGTTGACGAAGTCATGGAAATCGCGTTCACAGGACACGACTTAGAAGGTGTGGAGCTAGTCCCAGGAGAACGACTTCTTGACTTAGAGTATGCTGACGATATTGCCCTAATCTGTGACAACTCACAAACGTGCCAAGCGGCACTGGACAGATTAGCACTAGCTGTCCGTCACTTCGGGCTTTGCTTCGCACCCTCGAAGTGCAAAGCGTTTCTCCAAGATTGGTCTGGACCGCCTCCTACGCTGACCGTTGGTGGGGATCAGCTAGAAGTCGTTCAAAAATTCAACTACCTGGGAAGTTGTATCAGCGCCCGTGGGATTGAAGATGAAATCACGAAGCGTATAGCAAAAGCTCGGGGTGCTTTTGCTAACCTTCGCCACTTGTGGCGCCGGCGCGACATCACTCTTGCCCTGAAGGGTAGTGTACAATACAGCAGTATGTTCGACCCTACTGTACGGTTGCGAAACCTGGTCGCTTAATGCAGCGGACCTGAAGAGGCCAGTTACGTTCGACCACCGGTGCCTTCGTAATTTAGCTCACATCTGGTGGGAACATCAAGTAAGCAACGAGCGTGTTCGACGCCTTGTTTATGGCACAGGGAAAGGAACTGAACCGCTCAGCACCGTTATTTCACGCATCAGGCTCCGATGGCTCGGCCACGTGTCACGCATGCCAGCCCACCGACTCCTGCGACGTGTGTTGTTTGCGCGACGGGGGTGTGGATGGAAGAAGAGGAGGGGTGGCCAAGCGATGACTTGGTCCAGAGGAATGAAGGCCCTCACTTCTGAGCTTGCCTCGGTTGGAACGTCTCGGCTCTCTGGTTGGGGTCCGAAAGACGATGAACACATTTGCTTGGACACACTTGCTGATATGGCTACGAGCCGACCTCAATTTCGTTCGTGCTGTGAGTTTCTTTGTCCCACCCATCCCTCTTAGCCTCCCCCTCCAACCACGATCTCATTAGTTAGCCTTATATAATTTTGCATAGTAATTTTTTTGGTGCACAGCAGCCGGCTGGTAGCTTACCGGAACGATGCCCATCCGTTACCGGTAGCTCAGCCAGCTTGCACCAGTTGCTTTTTTTCTCTTTTTTTCTATGTATTGCGGCACAGTAGCTGAGGTGTTTCCCACCTCTAGCTAACGTGTATGATGATGATAATGATGATGACTGATGAGAAAATTCGCGAGGATATCAATTAGATATGGCTGTCTGTAAGCATGAGATGCCCACGCTTGCTTGATCCATACTCTGAGCAGCATGTGAGATATCCGTTTACGTCTGTGCGCACCGCAAGCTGATGCAATGCAAATGCTGACGAAGTTCCTTGGGACAAGCGGTGTTAGGCGAAAAACATGAGGTGACCAAGTAGAAGGAAGAAATGTGTCTGCACGCCACACGATGTCCAGTGCAGCAACGGTATACAAATCTAGCCTACATGTAGTGATTGATTAAACGGAAGAAATTCGATTGGGACCATATGTAAGTCGATAGGCCAAAATAACTCAAAACATGTATTCATCGAAACTCGATGGAGCACCCGCACTTACATGTCGGCCTGAAGATTGTTGATCCAGTACCAAGGCCAGTGGAAAAAACACCTGGAGCTGACGAAACGGTTGTTGTTTGGAGGTTTGTAGGTTGGACTATTGCCGATTGAGCCGTTTGTCCGCCCAAAGAAGTTAAAGAAAAGGCAGGACCGGAAGGAACGGTGGAAAACGGAGATGGGCCGTAAGGCGTACGTGCAGAGATAGTTTTCTTTAGGGAATACAGGGCACGATCAGAATTGTCATCCAAGTACCTTAGCTTCAAACATGAGGCCTCTATGTCAGAGAAAGGATTGCGGCCATCTGAACTTGTGATCCGCTGATTCCGAAGGTAACGTGACTTCAAAGTCTAAAAGTAATAAAAGCGTCTTGTTTATGTGATTGCTTGAGAGGGATTTACAGAGCGAATAGAAAATCATTGGAATACTATGAAAATAAAATAGGAAATGTAGAAACAGGTAGGACAACTTCGGCTTTTATTGTTAACGGATCTCCAGGTGACGTGGCTCAAGGCTTGGCTGATGACCGTATTCGAACAAGCATCTAGCCCCTGAGAACGCAATAGCTGCCGTCGGATCCAATTTGATTTTGTAAAACCGAAATATTGAGGTGCACTGGTAGGCATATATACCGTATTGGATTGAGGACTAGGCTTGTGACTTCTCGTTTCAATAGATCGAAATGCGATGAGATAGAATCGAAGATCCCATGCAAAATATGGAAACCTATGATCGCGGCGACTTCGGCTGTCGCAGAACAAAGCACTGAACACAGGAAAGGTCGGTGAATCTGTCGGAATTCAGAATAAAAACTCAAGTTAGTGTAGAGGACGAGATCAGATAGGTTGTCGGGTTCGAGGTGAAGAGTCGCGTGCGAGTTAACTGATAAGGATGAAGGATAGAATAAAAACTAACGCTAGATCTTCGGAGTCGTCAGCGCCACTGGTGTAAAAAGTCGGTCCTTCAGGGACAAAACGTATATTCTGCAAACAACGGACCAGGCGAAAACGCAGGGAGAGGACGAGTGAAACTTATCGGTTTATACAGCTAGTTGGATCCATAATTAACGACCTTTGTGAATGCATGACATTTTTCCTTTGATTCAGTCAAACAAACTCACTCCAATGCGTCCAAGTGTTGGCCAATCAGCGTGCATGCGAGAAACGTGTGAACGTCCAATCAGCTGCCGCCTTTCCTTGCGGCAGCCTAACGGCTTCCTTGCTGGGCTGGCACCACACGTTCGTTCGAGTGTATACTCCCATCACACTGGTAATAGGAAGTTATCCATTATTGAGATAACTACAACCTCAGTGAAAACAAAAAACAATGTGTCAGCTGTACGCCGAAACGGCGCTTCGCTGCCGCGCGATTACCACTAGTCGCGCGTGGGCTGAGTATACCGCGAGGACGCCAGCCCCTACGCGGATTCGAACCCGTGACCTTATGATTGCAAGCCAGGCGTGCAGACCACTCGGCCACCGGCCGACCAGTCAAAACAAGGCAACTGATATGGTACGTTGGGTGATTTCAGTTCAGTTCGGTTGCTCAACTATGATCCGGGCAACAAAGTGTGGTGAATCCGATTGTCACGACTAACGTCGCCCGAGTAACAGTTAACAAAGGCAAGGAGAAATGCGGTTGAATGTAAACACAATAGAAAGAAAGTGGAGTTAAGAAATGCGCAAAAACTAGCGGTGATGGAATGAATACTAACAGCCAGATGTAAGAAACCGTAGTTAAGAACGTCACTAATTGCGCGAGGTCTGGTAGGGTCTCTAACCACTGATGTGACCCCCATCCACGAAGACGGTATGCAGTAGCCTGACCAAGTCCCTCGATCAGTTTCTTCATGCCATTATGCCACGCCATGGACTAGCTAGATCACAATTTCGCTCAAATTGGTGCAGCCACGGCCAAATGGCAAACGGAACAGATCACCTGGTCAACGTAAGCCGTCAAAATTCAGAAAATGCTCGAGTGAGGAACCAAAAGGTTTATTGCCACAAACCAACTGACGGATCACACTCGCTGTTCTCACAAGATGTGAGCAGTACTCTGCAAATATTGGTAACCAAACACGACCAATCGTTTAGTGCCTTCACTGCGAGCTGTTTACGTTCCCGATCCGTACGGCAACATCAGACTTTTCGCAACCTTACACACCCTATATCCCACTAATAGGCTGATATCCTGCCGTCCTCATAGATGGTTGAGTCTCTGGGCAGCCACACGGATTTTGCTAATACGTGCAGTAACCTCCACAGTGATGTGACCATCAAAAGTGATGCACGTATTAAGGTAAGCAGACCGATCCACCACTTTCAGTGGCTGTTCGGTTATAGCTAAAACCGGAAATGTGTCGGTCCAGTCCTGTAACAATACAGTGCACAATGAAGTTGCAAAGTACAAGCCGATGCGTGCAGCGCTACACACAAGTCTGTGCAGTAGCGTCTACATAGTTACTGCGCCAGACCCAACCATAGCTATGTCGCCTACATACTCAAGGTTTGTCGGTCGGTCACCTGGCACAACTTACACTCCGGAATAGTCTGAACGAATGTAAATATTCGTGATCCTTTCGATCAAAGTTTAAGAGGAAAAGGGATATAGGACAACCTTGGCGAACCTGACTTGTCATGGGGAACACAGGAAACAATTTTTCGTAGACTCTCACCCGGCCTTTGGAGTCATGGTAGAGAATTTAGAATGGGAAGGTTAGCTGGCACGCCCTTCACAGATAGGCAGTTCCACAATTAGGCTCGATCAACAGTCGTAGGCGGCTGTCAAGCCAAGGTAAAGCTCCGCTCGTTTAGTGCGTACACAGAACCTAGTCTGATGTCCTATCGGAAGAGCGACGAAACTATTGAAGCAGGGCGCGCTATAATAAGAAAACGGCTACTCCGAGGCCTTCATTGACGGGAATATGCGATGGCCAAACTGCCCACAATAGGAAAGAAGCGTGTCTACTTATTGTCGCCATTCGAGAGAATAGTTCCGAATACCTTAGCAAACTATTAAGACCGGCTGTCAATAACATCTACGGGGCCGCACAATTACGCATTATCTTCACTTCCACGCCTATGCTACACCTCCAGCTGGAGGATAAAGCGTCGGTGGATGTCACCTCTCTTTGTGTATCAATTTACCTGTTCCTGTGGGACAAGTTACATAGGTCGCATGAGACGTTTGGGTGAACGCATTGGCGAGCATCATCCACGTGCCTAAGCCGAGGATTGTACAAGACGCGCACCAATGCAGTTGTCGTACACCTAGTCCAGCCTAATCACTCTGTTGTTATCAACAAAATCTTTCGCCCGATCTAAGTGTGAGGGGTGTCCATCCCAAGCTTACCAGGTGCAGAATCCTTGCATTGGCAGAAGAGATCGCGATGGATCTCAACAACCCTCCATTGTGTGTGGTGTGTGTGTGCGCGCATAAGCAATTTGTCTAAATCTTGGCTCTACTATGGCTAACTGTCGCAGGCACAACTGCCGTGTGAACGACTCACACCCAGTATGGGTATTTTGACACCTACAGTTTCTAGTGGCTGGCTTGCCGAACTACCTCCTCGTGGTGCCAGTTGGGTGGTTCGGGTATAACCCGCTCCACCAAAGTGTTCAGCGACAATGTTCCACCTCCGTGGGGTATTGTATGCTAGCAGGTGTGCCGACTTCATGGGGAGTATTGGGCCCCTGTTTGGTAATCTACCAAAGACGCATGAACTGAACATTCAGTCAACGACTCCCAATGGGCGCGATTCCCTAAATTCGCCCTGCTGCCTTGCAGGTAGGTTATTTAGCAAAAGGCTCGGGGTGGAGTCCCCTAAGTCAACTCCCTACTTCGGCTTGAGCAAACGGGTAGTATCACGCCCTCTCGCAAAAACATGGACTGTATTACAACGTGCTCATCAGCTACTGTTTCTGCATCTCACCTTCACGCAATCTCATCACACGCAAATTGTTTGTTTGTTAACACTCCTCACTTTCCGTTACCCGACTCATGTGTTCAACAATCTGGCTGCGATTCCGGTTGCGCCGCAGACCAAAGAGTTCAACCTATGACTCCCCTTCGTCCCCGATCCTCGTTCCGTCTGGCGTGATCAACGTTCGGACACTCATGCAGATTGGACAGCAAGCCGGTCTAGCGCGCACCCCAGATTTCATAGACATTGATGTCTGCTGCCTTTCAGAAACCCGACTGCAAGATCCCAGCACTGTGCTTACATTGACATTCCCCGGTGACCACGAGGCCAGATACCACCTTCATCTTTCTGGAGATACAGAAGCAGACTCAACGGGTTTGGCTGGTGTAGGAATAGCACAAAGTGGCAAGATCGAGGCGGCACTACTGGACTGGTTCCCGATTAACAGACCACTATGTGCAGTTCGGCTTCGGGTTTCATGTAGAATCAACAGGCACCGCCAATAGAGACACAAGTTATTTTTGACCTCCCTGTACGCTCCAACTGACTGCAGTGGCGACTCGGTCAAGCACGAATTCTACCGGGATCTACAACAGCTCTTGACTAAGGCTAAAAAGTCGGACGTCGTTAGCCTTCCTGGGGATTTTAATGCACGGGTTGGCCGGCTGTTACCATACGAACGCCACCTTGGTGGTCATCACGCGCTCGATGAAGACCGCTCTGATAACGGAGAGAGACTTCTCACATTGTGCGAAGACAACCGTCTGCTTCTTTCGAGCACTAACTTGAGGCGTACCATAAGCGTTCTGCAACGTGGTGTCCCCCTTCGCCAACACAACCGTGGTCTCATATTGATCACATTGCAATTAGCTTCAGATGGCGCGGCAGCGTACTGGACTGCAGGTCCTTTTGGTCCACGTTCGTTGATTCAGATCATGATCCGGTCTGCGCGAAAATCCGTATGTGTTTTGGAGGATCCCGAAACACGAAGCACCTCAAGGTTGATGTAAACAGATTAATTGATTCCTCTGTCCAGACGAGCTATCAATCTTCACTAGCATATGCACTCAGTTGCAATCCACCGCAAGAAGTGGAACAACACTGGATTGTATACGGAAAGCGATGACCATTTCCGGATAGTCATGCTGCGGCCTAACTTGACGCCCCTTGAAGGCTTGGATCTCTGCTCGTTCTCTGGAGCTGTTCGAACGTTACAAAAATATCCCCGCGGAATCAGATTGCAACGAGCGGCGCCGTTCTGCCAACCGGCTGCTCAAGCAAAGCCTACGTAAGGATCGCGACATGGTGGTCTGAAGGTGCTTTAGAGATGGAGACCGCTGCCCTCTCTGGCAACACTCGCAGGCTATTCCAACTCATTCGGTCCACTGGCCTCAGGAAGCCTGGTGTCAGTGAGGTCATTTGTGAGGT